TTAGCCTATCTATAATGGTAAAGTAAAAAATGTGTAGAAATACTGCAATGAACAAGTAAAGTAAAAGAATTAAGTTCTTATCAAAAGGGGATATTCTGTGGCTAAATTCGAAGAACAGATTGCAGCTAATTGGTAGATTAAGAAAGGAAAGTAGTAGCAATGGTACATTTTAGTAGTTAAAATGTAATTCATGTTTACGTTACGTAAGCCTTGCTAGTATGACGTTTGCCTACGTCGCAATCGTATTAAGATGGAGGGATGGAGGCTCGGATATAACAAGGGAAAATGTGTGCAATCAGGATTGACAATTGAGCGTAGTGTTTTGTACCTCAGGGAGTTTGTTTTATTATTACCTAACTAAGATAGGATTTTCATGGAATAAAGATATTCCATAAATTGATTTACATAATGATATAAAGTAGAAATATTTTACAGAAGGCATTATCTGTAATAGATATTAATAGTGATTACTTGCTCGCCGGTAACACTATAAACTTATTAATAACAGCGAATAGATATTGGATTTTACAGTAGGCATTACTAGATTCATTTACACGTAGCATTTGATGCTTTTTGTCGTAGTGTTTTGGTGCAACTTCATTAATGACATAGTCTTTGAAAATCATACGGCAACCACTTTTTTCGCCATCGAGTTTAAGTAGCTGTTAATGTTCTTGTCCACATACTAATTTGAAATCGCCAGCTAGTTGTCGGCGACAAAAATCGCTGTGTAGATTGGGTATTCTATTTTACTGTAAATGCTTTATGGTACACAATTTGCATTGGACACATTAAAAAGATGTAATATACAATAGCGAACTTATTCCATAGAGGGATCTCTTACAACTACCTTTTCTACCATGAAGCAGTTATGTTTGCATGGCTGTATTTTGGTTTACTCGTAAAGGGTGGGATATGGCAGTGAATTTACAGGGTACAGAGGAATAACACTTGAGTTCTCAGGAATGGCAACGCATGTAGGATATCATGGGCGAAACAGTATACTCTGTTATGTTCATGGTACTGTTCATGCCTATAGGCGACGGTTACCACTTTCCATCCGGTGGGCCGTCAGCTTATTTGGCTTTCTAAGTTGCATAAAAAAATCTCTTACAGTCAACCTTTAAGAAGCTGAAAGAAAACTATAGAATGTTCGAGAGTAAAAACTGTAGGTGCAACCAAAGATAAAATTTATTAATACCTAGTTAAAATTAAACATTATATATGTTTAAAAGTCTAAGCAATCGCTTTACTGTCAACACTAATCTTATAGTAGTTCTGAATACTAAAATATGTTATTTTAAAGTAAATTTGCTGAGTATTTTGATTGTACGTTTGGAATTTGTAAACTTAATTGAAAGGCGTTGCCTTTAAATTAATGACTGAAACATCAAAGCAAATATTATTAAATTACTTAAGTATCTACTTCAACAAATTTATTTTGTTCAAAGTTGAGCATCTGAAAATCAATCTGCCTGGTTTAGTACCACAACAATTTATTACACAATGACATAAATAATTCAACAAATCAGCAATGACTTAATAATCTGTTATGTTTTTATTTATGATGACATTGTTTTGTGCATTATTACATTTGTATTATTCTTATTAATATTAAATATATATAAATGTGTAAGTGAATTTGGTCAGTTAATTGTTACCACTTGATACCTTAACAGCTTAATCAATCGCCATGTAATTTGATATGCTCTTAGTATTTAGGTTGAAGAAGGATATGTGCTACATTTTTATTTCGGGTAATCAATACACCTCAGTCATACGAACGAAGCCGCGGGTAAAAATTAAAGTAAATATTATAAATTAAGATTACATACTAAGGTAATTTGAATTTTAAATACAATTATAATAATTGAATAATTAATAATTTATGTAATAGAACATATTTTTACTTCAGTTGCGTTGAAGAAAATTTTAAGAATTTCGGATTGTTTTTTTTATACCTACCCTATTATAGAACTTTTTCTTTATACAAGATATCCGAAGACAACAAGATATAGAGAACAAGAGATCTATAAATATCGAAGGGAAAGGATTGGTAGTTAAGGGTACTAGCGGCTCCATTGCAAGCAATATACCCTGCCAAGTTGGCCTCCATCCGGCTCCCCTTGGTGGTTAATTCTTGATGAATTCGTCTCGATGGGCCTACTGACCTGCTTTCATCCTCACCTATCATCCCTCTCTTATACCTCGCGAACGTAAAGCGCAGGCGGGGTCACCATTCTATTCTGATTTATAAAAAAAAATCTACAGATACCTATCCAAAGAGTCTAATTTTTATCTTTAACTTTTTTATGTATGTCTATTTTATTTACTGATTAAATCTAACTTATGTATTTATTTTATATTTTTTTTTTTGTATATATGTAAACATATCAACATACACAATCACGCAAATATAATATTATTATTATAGATTGGGTAGAACACAGCTCTATTAGAGCTAGATTTCTCTCTCGGTAATGAGAACTGCCAGCGCCGACTGATCTCCGACTATAATTCGCTCAAACACATTCCTGTTACCTAATAGAAGGATTCTAGAAGGTTTAGGTATGCGTGTAACTAATTCAGTATTGCAGGTGTCCATGATCAATAATAAGCGATATCCGATGGCGAGTTCTATTAATATGTGTTATAATAGAAAAAAAGTCGGTCAAGTGTGAGTCGGACTCGTGCAGCGAGGGTTCTGTACAAAATCGTCAATTTTTTTGTGAAATAACTACAAATTTACAATTTTTGGATGTTTCCTTTACATGACATTGATTCTTGCATTTCATGGTCAACAGAAAGGACCCTATAGGTTTTGATTCTTTTTAGGTATGTTAAAATTTGCGATATAAATGTAATATAAACGACACGAAATGTAATATAATTAATAAATTGCAGACCTGAGTATATGATATTAATTGGAACTTGAAACCTCCACGCGTCCCTAAGAAAAATGATCTTCACAGACAGACGGACGGACAAAGTAGTGATCCTATGTATAAGGATTCCGTTTTTTCCTCTGGAGGTACAGAACCCTAAAAAAAGTTAATAGATACCTGTTGTAAACAGAAATATTTCGAACAGAATAATCGAATAATTGCTATCCATCTACATATTATTTTACTGAATTATAGGGCATACTTACCATCTATAATTGAATCTATTACACATAAAGGCGTTTCACGTTGGTAATAAAATGATAAGTGAGGTTAAATGGCAAAAGGTAAAAGAATAACATCCATCAAACTAAAATTCATGAGACTCGACAAGGCTTTTAAATGAGATATTACCTTATCAGAATTTCTCCTCTTCCTTCTTTCACACAATAATAAAATTATATCTAGGTACACGGCTACGAAATTGAATAAATTCCTACTGCAATTAACTTATTTATGTGTATATGTTGAAAGTTTTTATGGCGACAAAATACTAAAAAGGACACGCAGACAAAATTGAATGAAAAATAAATTAATAACTGACCTGACTAAAAGACTCCTAATGTCCAGTAGTTTTTTTTTTTTTTACTTAAGGGTACCCTCTTGTCGAAGGATCTAATTTATTAGTTGCTATTACAGATGGGCAAAGCACCGGGTTTAAACCCGGTGCTTTGGTAAAAACCCAATAAACACCCATAAACTCCCATAATCACCCAAAAAAATAGGTTTTTACGTATTTTTTTGAAAATATGTAAGTAATACCAATAAATTATTTTTATAAATTGTATTGATCAATTCTACAATATTAAATAAAACGTTAACTAATAATATTTCAGGAAATTTTAAAAATCTATATATAATAAAATGAAAGTAATTAATTTTCAGTGTTTTCATGTTGCAGTTGATCAACATGTTGGCCTTTTGCTTCCCGTAGATACTTTAAAATTTCTTCATAACACCTCGTTCGCACACATGGCCGTATATATTTAAATTCTTGAGCCACTAACAGTCCGAAATACTCATTTCTTTTATCCTCTTCTCCATAAATTAAGCATTTAGAACAGTTTGTTTCTTCTTTCAGTAAATTTTCTTTTACTTTATCCTCGTTTTTTTCTTTGTTGCGACGACGCTGGGTAAATCATCTGGACACTGGGTCTCACTATCGCCAAATATATTTGGAGATCGGCTTCGGCTACGGCTTGGCAGACATTTTTTTCTTTCTACAATTTTAAATTAAATTTATTAGAATAAATGCTTCGAACACACGCGATCTAAGTACCTTTTGTGTTTATTATACCTTACCTACCTAGGTATAAAAAGAGTACTTACGTAGATTTTCTTTTATTAACTGTTTTATACGAAGATCTTGATCTCTCAAATTAGCATCCATTTTACTTCCAGTGATTATCAACTAAATTAATAATCCACAAAGTATTAAATAACGTTTTTATGAAATATTTAGCACAAAAACAATACCCTTTAAATATCGATCGTCAGTAACTGTGGCTGACTTACCTATATTCTAGCAAGCAGGACTGCCAGATGTGAAGGGGAAATCCCCAATAAATTGTTGCATGTGACTGATGATGTGAGCATGTTCGTTTCATAATAAAAATGTTGCCAGGTAACCAAAAAGTCGTATGTTTTTGTGCGAATTACGATCATAATCTTTACGATCGTACATTAAAAAATAGACAAATAATAGTATGAGTACGATTTAAATCGTATATCTGTCAACCCTGCTAGCAAGACAGCGACAAAATCACGTTGCATAACAATGTAGCCCAAGCTTATATCTTATGAAATATACGGAAGAGATACGGACTTAGAAAAAACAGAAATGTTGTTCTTTGTGGAAGTCATTGATGAAATTCTATGTATTTTAGCCCGCAAACTTTCTTCAAACAAAAACAGCGCCATCTAGTATCGAGTTCTGTAATTATCTCTTTGTTTATGGATTTGAAGTAAGACCGCCACGCATGCAATACATTATGACTGGGGATTCCCCTATTCGTCGACGCTGAATATGAGACGACGACAATCACTGTCAAACGTGTTCACTATTACTCTGACTCTGGTAACGTGACTTCCTGGTAACGTGTTAGGTAGGAAAAGCAGTAAAAAAGTGCATATTAAGGGAGCAGATTTGAAATAATATTTATACTTAACAAGAAATAATTAAAGGTAAGTGGATTTTTGAATGATACAATTATATCATGATCACTTAACAATTTTAACTTAAAATTAGATGTATTATTACAAGCTTTTATTTAGCTTGCGTTATGTAAATAAAAGTATGTAGGTATGTTCGTATGTTGATGCAATTATCCTCAATCCTCAACCGACTGGGATAAAATTTTCCATACACGTTTATTTTGGATGATAGTGCATAGTTAGCTGAGAGTCGTCATTGGATAATAATGGTGGATAGCCTAAGATGTGTACTAGATATTTATTTTTAACATAATATGCGTAAGTACCTAATCGAATTAAAGAAGTTGCTGAGAAAAATACAGAACAATACGATAATAAACTAGCGTCTGCGTTTAATCCTCCGAGGAGATGTAATTTTACAAAGGTTTTTTGTATTTATTTTATTATTTTTTTAATAAATTTATTGTAAATAACAAGAAATAATCATTGTAAAAAAATAGGCACTCTATTGTTGAATTTTCGTCAGACCAACTAATCATCGTTCATTTTTTTAGGTTCAATGGGGAGACCTAAAGATTTACGCATATGGGAGCACTACCGTACTTTACCAAACAAGTCTGTTTCTTGCAAGCTTTGTAATAAGGTCTACAAATTCAGTAATGCTGCCAAAATGCTTCAACATCTTATCACTTGTCCAAAATCTCCAGAAACATTAAAAGACTCTATGAAACTTATAAAAGATAGCTCGTCCAAAACCAAAATGTCTGGACTGTCAGAGATAGAGACAAATGATTCTTTTATAAGCCCCTCGTCGTCTGCTAACACTACAATAAATGCTGAGTTTCAAGACACCGATGATCATATAAAAACAGAATTAGCGAGAGCTATATTTGTAACAGGGACGCCATTATCGATGGTGCAACATCCTTTATGGATACAATTTTTCGAAAAATTGCAACCAAAATTTAAAATACCTTCACGTAAAGCTTTAGCGACAAAATACTTAGATAAAATATATAGAGAAATGCGTTTTGAGTTAAATGAGGAACTAAATGCTTGTAGTTACTTACACCTTCAGTGCGATGGCTGGTCTAATTTAAGAAATGAAGGAATAATAAACTTTCTTATATCAAAACCTCAACCTGCATACGTTAAAAGTTTGAATACAGAAAGTAATCCTCACACTAGTGAATACCTTAGCCAAGAAGTTGAAAAAGTAATGAAAGTGTATGGAGCAAATAAGTTTCTTGTACTTATTGGCGATAACGCTAGAAATATACAAAAGGCATTCGAATTAACAAAACTCAAATATCCACATGTTGTTCCTCTCGGTTGCTGTGCACATATCCTTAACTTGTTGTGCCAAGATATTGTAAAGATACAAGAAGTATCTGTGTTTATTATGCAAGCCATAAATATAATAAAAACTGTTAAAAGGAGTCAACGATTAAGTTCCTTGTTGATAAAATCAAGGCAGGGTGAAGATTCTACACAAACACTAAAATTGCCTTGTGCTACAAGATGGGGAAGTCATGTTACTTCGTTAAAAAGTTTGAAAGCAAATAAGATAGCTTTGCAAATATTAACAGTTAGAGAAGATGTGGTAATTTCAAGAGATATTAAAGATTTAATTCTAAGTGATGATTTCTGGACGAAGACAGGGGAATGTATAAGTATTTTGGAACCAGTCACTGAAAGCATATTTTACTTAGAGAGCGACCAGAATCGTTTGCATCGCACATACATTACATTTAGAGATGTACAAGCTAAGATACGTTTTGCATTAAATGAGATTTCGACATTGAGCGAAGAAAGCAAACAGCAGATTCTAACATCAGTATCTTCAAGATGCAATATGGCAATGAGGCCAATACATTTTGCAGCATATATTCTAGACCCCAGGACTCTAGGAGTCGAACTTACTCAAGAGGAAGAACTTAAGGGTATGGAGTTTATCTACAATTTAAGCCAACACTTAAGTTTGTCAAATGTAATGGCAGATTTGGCGTGTTATAAAGCTAAAGAAAACTTTTGGGCCAGAGGATTTGTATGGAGCTCATTAGATAGCATTGAGCCCCTAATATGGTGGAAAGGTATTTGTGGTTCCACTGAGTTAAGCAAAGTAGCGATTCGTATTCTATCAGCTCCCTGTACTTCGGCAGCCACTGAGCGTTCCTTTAGTATCCAAGGCTACATACATAATAACAAAAGAAATCGACTTACAACTGAAAGAACTGAAAAAATTTCATTCATTTGTTATAACTGGAATCTTAAACATAAAGCTGAATGCGAGGACATTCAGTTTAATGAAGAAAATACCTTAGAAGCTTTCATTGAGCAAGTAAATGAACATAACAGTTTAGACGAAATAGAGCCTATCGAACCTATACAATTCATCGCTTGTAATAACTCTGAATCTGACAGTGATTGACTGTAGTTTTACATTTTACTTTCATCTCTTTCTTAATAAACTCAAAATCAAATTAAAAGTTTTTTATTCTGTAGGCTGCATAATAATATTGTCTATGTCCAGTATAGTGGACGTCTTGCGGCTGAGATGACGATGATGAAGTACAAAATCATAAACACCCAAAAATTTGGGTGTTTATGGGGTTTAAACCCAATAAACCCAAAACACCCGGTTTTTACCCACCAGACTTTAAACCCACCCAGGTGGATTGCCCATCTCTAGTTGCTATTTATGGGATTATAGTGCAGTAGTTTCTCATCTTGCTTTCTACACCGTAGTTCAAAGACCGATGTGTCGCCCTTTGATCGCTGACTAGAAGCACTTCTCTTCGTTCCTTATTTACTGATCCTTCTTTATGTACTGGTGTTAATACCAATAGTAGTACAAATAAAAAAAAATAATCAATTGAATATTTCGATTTGTTTTCACACTAGGGAGTTGTTTCTCATAAGAGAAGAAAATTAGCTTACTACCACGTTAGCCAGTCGACATGGTAAGCGTTTCGTTCCAATTTCGGTGTATTATGCTTTGTACTCTTAGTTGCCCGCCCTCCATAGTGTGGTGATATCCTTACTCCATTAACTTCACACTATAAGAACTAGAAGAAGAGAAGAACTCCCGCCTACGCTAACGGTATACACTGGCGGGGTACCAGTAACGGATGATATATGAAAATGAAAAGGCAGGTCAGTTAGCCCATCAAGATAAATAAGTTTGGAATTCAGCACGATGGTTACCAGGGGGGGGGGGGGGGGAAGGCAGGTATATTGCTAGCAATCAGGTTCTTAATCTCTATTAGTAACAATCCCTTTCCCCCGGTGATAGATATTAGGATACTTATTATCATGGTTAAGCTACGTTTCATGTTTAAGCGGACGATGTTGTTGAAAAATTTAGTTTATTGTAGGTAGGTATAAAAATAAAGAAACAATTTAATTTTATTTGGATTCGTATTTAATCTTATAATAGATAGACATATGCTTTTTGGAAAGAGGGTGAAGGATGGAGGGTCATTTTAATAACACTGATATTTTAGGTGACAAAGTAGCGGTATATAAGAGGAGATATAAACCAGAATACCCACACCTACTATGTGAATAATTAGACTTTATTACTTGAATTTATCTGACCGCGAAAGAAAAACGTTTGCCGAGCGTCACAAATTAAATACAGATTAAAATGATGACAATATTTTTACGTAATGATGAGAATATTAATATTTTATTACAGGTTTACCTAAACATTATTTAAAAAATACCTTGTGATCCTATTATCTCATACAACGGTAAGTGAAATCAGAGTTCCGCTCCTGGTTTTACGGATTAAAATTACAGAGGATGGACAGCCTCACGAATACTTTATGAGCGTACAATACAAATAATTTACATTTCCAACGTGGACCGTGAGCACTAGCGAATTCTTGCTATAAACTCTCTGCCTAAGAATTTGTTACAATGTAACTTTATTGTTGGATACTCTGCAGTATCTAGGTACTTACTTCTTCTATTGCATTTTTATTTTATGCAGAAACTGCATATTAATGTGTTTAATTTTAAATATATGAAAATAATTTTAATAATATTTTTTTTTAAATATATGAAATTTTAATATATCATTGTACACAGTGTTTATAGTATTAACTTAAATAAATATTCTATAATAATTTTACCATACATAGTTAAGCATACCACCCATACTACTATATCTGAAAGATCCAATTTATTGATCTAAATTCAACCATATTAAAAAAGAATAGAAATGAGGCTACCATTTACATTTTTGGATACGATTTTTATAAGGCTGAAATATAATTGGAAAATTAAAAATAGTGAAATATAAATATGCCTTCAGCAAAATATTTTTTACAATTGAAAGGTCAAGGTAAGACATTCTTATTCTTTTTAGATTTATTTGATATAAGTAAAATATGGAAATAAATGTAAAAATAGTGAGGATAGCTTACGAGTCCTTCAGTCTGCATACTAGTAATGCAAATAGAAAAGATCTGATTTGTATTCACTTTATCAAAGAATAGATGTGAACCGAAATAGCGGAGAACTAAAGGCTGTCCAGTGAACGTGGTGTATAAGTACGTGTTACCTAGATGTTTCGAAGCTGATACCAGACGGATATAGCGTGTCGATACGGACCATCGCGTTTATAGCTCAGCTCCGGCCGAGATTACACTCCGCCCTCTACGATTTAACGTTGCGCTGGTTCAGTGGCATTAAGGGTAACGAAACACCCTCTATAAAATGTCATTTTTATATCCCAATAATAGGTGTATATTGTTATATCCACGTCGTAGGAGAATAATAACAGACACCCAGAAGGACCGCCAAAGGAAGTTTTTATTAATCACAAAAAATAAATAATCCAATATAGTTTTTTATTTATAACATTTATATATGTAACTAATTTTTTGTTCACTACTTCGTGCATGTGTATTTCAGAAGTAGGAAATTCAATGAAATAGATTACTTTTAGAAATGGTTAATTTAATCGGTGCATCAAGATTAAATATATATTAGATATTAAGTTACACCTTCAAGCAAACTGTGAAAACCGCATTTAATTAGTCGCAATAGTTTTTTCGTGATGCCAGAATGAACATACAGACAGGCAAAATTTCTAAAAATAATTGTTTTGGCATCTAATGGTTTTCTTAAGATCCTTTGAATTAATTTTTCTTAAATATATTCCATATACAAATATCGTCTAGTTACAATGTTATTATATTAGTAACATAAGATATTTTAAACATATTCGAAAATTATAAAAGCTATTACAGTTTTTTTTATTGTATCGATCTGAAAAAAAATTAAAAAAAAAACTATTTTTATTTTTTTATCATATATATCAGAATCATATATCATATTGAGAGACATACAAAATCGTGATATGTGCTTTAAATTTAAACGTTCATTTAAATATCGAAGACAAATAAGTTTGAAAACTAGTAGTCATTATTATTTTTAGGTACTGAATAAAATAAATAAATTGTAGACTACTACGAGATGTTTATCAAATTGACAGTTGACCTACAAGTCGATTGGGAAAAATCGAACAGGACAGAACAAATGTTGCAGAATTTTATATATGTATAGGTACATCTATTCTTACTTCAATTGTATCTTTTCTTTGTACAAAGCATAACATCTAAGTGTAATACAAATTTATTTGCTAATCTCAGAATAAAGGCTGGAACTATGCTCTGTGAGAATTTGTAAGTGTGTACATTATTTTAAATGTACATTCTACATTTTAACAAATAATAGTTTTTAGTATAAGTAGGTATAATACTCTAAGAACTTACATGTTTCGCGAGGATTAAGATATCGTTAAAGGAGACCTGTGTAATGTAGGTTGTTCATTTATATATAACTTAAATTGTTCCTTATTAAGAGCTAATGAAGTAGGTACTATAATACATTTTCCTGGTAGTATATAGTTGGTAAATTACTCAACAGTTTCGTTAAAGCATAAAAAAGTCGTTTAGACGACAGCTACTTGACGCCGCATTTGTATAACATCTCATTCCTCGTTAGAGCCATTGAGTCTAGAGCTTGAGATTTTTTCAAAGGACAAAGTAATGCCAGTAAATTTTTATCAAGAAAAACTATTTCTTTTATCATTAGAATAATGTATTTTGTTTTTAGGAATAAAGACAATACCTACAATCTTTATTCTTGTAGATTATCAGTCACATTGTTCTACTAAATGGAATGAAAAACAAGCTGTCTGATCCCCTGTAATGGAAAAAAGTTGAAAACTTTTGCATATCGACATGAACACGAATGATTTTTTGAGTATAAGTATAAAGATAGTACAATGTTTAGTTGTCAAACTTTTGGGAAAAATATAAAAGCATAAAATATTTAAATTGTTGAAAATTGAATTTAAGCTTTTTTTATTGGTTAAGTCAGTAAAGTTCAGTTACTGGTCTTTACTGAATACTGAAATACTATCAAAAAGTCATATTTTCTTCAAATAGTGTCTTAATATTACATAAAAAAAAAACTTTTACCTTGTAATAGATAATTAATTTACAGACAGCGAACCTTTTATATAATGAATATTCGTATATTTCGTCTATTTACCTATACTTTGATTTAGAAATTATATCTGTAATTTTAAAGTATAGAGTGTGGTTATGGAGAGTTTACGGTTTACAGTTAACGTAGAATTTTGAGGTAAATTTTGTTTCGGAATTTTCCATTTTTTTTTTACAATTTATCAATTCTTAATTAGATAACATGGAAATTTTGTCTAGTATATATCATAGTAAATGAGATAATATTAATGGAATTTTAGTGTTCAGTCGTAAAGTTTTAGCTTGGCAACGGTTTCCATCGACTCTTATGTCTATCAATATAAATTTATTGCCTCATAGGCAATAAAAAGACTGTTACTTTACTTTTCACTGTAGGTTTTAGACTTGTGTTATAAGGTTTCCTTACCCGTCCCCTTTAGACAAGAGTCTTGAGTGGATTGCTGTACAAACAGTGACAGTTCTTTTAATAACGCAGATGAGTGTGGTACGTATAGGTATACGTTATAGTGTCTGACGAGAAAGCCTTTTTGTGTCATCGTCGAGTCGCGTAGTCGCTGCGCGGATACCATCATGTCCTATATATTCTATGGCTCCAGTTTATGTTCTAAACATACTTTGTAAAGGTCTTACATCTATCTGATATTTACTACTGAAAATACTATTGCGAAGAACTTTTAAAATCGAGTTAAAATTATTTTACTTACATTCGTGTCGTAGGTATAAACAAACAAATTTTGTTAGCATAAAAATTATTAAGGGTAAAACATCGAAATTGGGACTTTGTTGGATACACTCGACCGTAGTCCTGCGGGCCAGTTATTGAACATATATATGTAGAAATGTACCTTAAAATATATACTGTACTCCATTAAGTAAATAGTGTATAAGTGATAAATGTTCGTATATGAAAGGGATTTTAAGTTAAAAACTATTTTATATTATTACATTTATTTAAATTTATTCGTGACAAATGATGACATACAATAATGTATATGTTATCGCTAAGTATTATTTTGAGCTTATGAGTTCTCTCAATTCCTAATTCAGCCAAGCCAACCAGACTTTCAAATATGAAAAAATTAAAGGAAATAATTTACGACATACGAGAAATATAAAATGTAAGTGAATTATTATATTGTAATTATAAACCACCGTATAAGAACCGTAACATAATATACGTTGTATACACTACCTAATTTACGACGAGAAAATATATTTTAACACTAATAAGTATAAGTAGATATATCAGAAGTGAAAATGCTCGACCATAGAAAAATAGATACATACTTATTAAAATATTTTAATAGCTTTATAATACATAGAATATGAATAGATCAAATTTAAAATTATACACAATAAGTGATTCCTTATATACTTATTTGAAACTTAATAATTTCAGTCAACCACAAGAGAGAAAATTTTAATAAATAAAATAGGCAATAACATTCAACTAGACACAGAGCCTGCGTCCCATAAAATGTATGACGTGAAAGTTAACAATATCCACATACACAAATATATTATAAAAACAGATAATGGAATGTTTCTAATCGACTGAACACGGGTACAGACTCCATGTCTACGCATCAAAAACTTTGCTGTTCGCTCGAATAAAATGTTTATCTACATTTTACTACTCTAACGTCAATTTTTACAATGCGTAAAAATGTTGACTATTCAGTCGGGTTCCTTAATTCTATGATGAATATTTTAATGTAAATCAACATACTTATTATTGTATTAGTGCAAAATATACACTGTATAATATCGTATGAGCTTGAGTCAACTAAACATGAGCATTCGATATCTTTATTTACATATAATAGAAACACGACAAATACTGACAATGAATGTATAAGTACGTTAAGACGTTTGTATAACAAAGAATTTAATTGTTCGTTTTCCTGTCATATCTAATATTTTTATTTCATCTATATATTTTATGTTAGGACAAATATCCTTTCTGCCACTCTTGAATCAAGTCGTTGACGAATATCTTGGCTTGTAACTCGAAGAAAAAGCGACTTGTAAAGGGCTCTAGCGTGAAGAAGATTCATGTAGTATCTGTATATAGGCGTATAGATTGTACAAGTAACATCATAGGTATACTTTAAAATCACGGACATAAGGGACACCTGACTCAGTAAAAATGAAGCATTTAATCCTCCTTGCATTATTATAATATTACAACACATTACATACAGTCGTTCAAAATCACAAAGCGTTCTTATGGCACAAATAAAAACTTAATTGGGTTTATACTTAGGTTAAAATGTCATGCCTATTAACGACTAAACGTTCGTGCGTTTTTGTATAGATATTGGTAAAATCTAAAAGTACTAAAAGCAGTTATAACCGCAATGAGTTTTAAATATTTAAGCCTCTCTAATGTCATCTTTAAATTCTATCTATGGTATTCTAGAGATCTACGCGTCGATTGATCTTATGAGTATAAAATATACAAAGGTTTAGCTGTGTTGCCGCTAATTAAGTGAATATGAGGCAACCTATAATGAAGATAAAAATGAGTTGGAAATACATTTAGTTAATGTCACATCCTTTGTGTATTTACTTTATTTTTTATTTTTTGGCACATTGTAAGAAGACAAGACAAATTATTTTAAATATCTAATTATTTTAGAAAGTTAAGTTTGAATTAAATGAATATGATTTCAATGTAGGTATACTTTAAATTGTGTAAATGACATTATTTTCAGACGCGGAATCTATTACTGTCCTTTAAATTCTTTTATTACATTTATATTATAACACATGTATCGAACAAAACTCATTTAATTTTTTAATTTATTGTAATAAGAAATCAGAGGAATACAATAGGCATAGCTGTTTATAGTGTCATTTGATTGGATACGGTTATTAGTAAAACGATTGGCATATTTTAAAAATTATGTCTATCTACTTATAATTTTGATTTTTTGGACACAAGTGTATGTGTAAGAGGCTAGATTATTTTTTTACCAATAAACTGCAATACACAAATGTACAATTATATTATGTGAGTATGTATACAAAATTGCCAAAAAAGTATCGAAATTCTACATTAGTCATGAATTTATGTCGTTGTTATTCAGTTACATCTTATCCTATTGTGATGGTAATTTCGTAAAGATTTATCCAATTGACGCACGTTTATTGAAAGACTTTTTGGTCCTAACTCACTTTCCTCTATTATACATACTATTAACTGCGTCTTAATTATTACAAAACATAACAAACCAAGCTGGACATTTTACAAAAATACAAAAGTAATCGTTGGTAGGTGACCCTCCATCGAGGAAAGCGTATTTTAAAAACCTATTGTTAATTACGTCCCTCTCAAAGTCTATAGAACGGTAAAGGCACGGTCATGATGTGTATTGCACTTATGGGGTTACTTGTCTGTAGTACTCATACAGACAGAGAGAAGATATTTCTCCTAAATGTTTCGAAACACGCTCTATACTACAAGTCAAGTCGAGGAAAGCGTTTCAAGGCACATACTTTTAGAAATAATAGTTAAGTGGTACATTGAAAGGGAAAATACAGCCGCACCACGTTCGGATAAGGTTACATCAGATGAATTCAAATTAGAAAGACCTCTAAAAGCGTACCCTACGATGACAGATCCGATAATAGTATAGTGAATCCGCTACATTACTAATCCCGAGCGCTGGGTACATCACGTAGTACCTGTAATACAATTACAATACATTTTACATACACTATATAATAATTAATAATGAATAAGTACATAAAAATGTAATTCGAAGCTCTTGTAGTTCACTTGAACTATTACCTGCACTTTATCACTGTTTTCACAAAATGAGATCACTCCCCGTGTACTATGTACAACGCATGCACGATATTAAAAGCGGAGCAATAATTCCGTTACGTAATCAATTCGTTATCGCAAACTCCACCGTTAGCTATTGTGGGAATATGATTCCCATTAGTTTTTTCGTGAACATGACAGGAGCGGTGCAGGGGCTCCGGTCAAAAAACTGGAGGATTGTGTCTCCTGTCACAGGGTAACCGGAGGCAGGTGCCATTGCAGAGGTGTCGCGCGGCGTGAAGGAAGGCGGGCGCGCGCGCGTGCGGCGGCGCGGGCGGCGGCAGCACCGGCGACAGCGAGCCCGCCCCCGAGGGACTGTCCCTGTCCGGCGCCGCGGACGGCGGGCGCTACACGTGCGTGCACGCGCCCGCCGCCACGGGTCACCCGCCCGCCAGCGCGTCCTCCGGCTCCGGCGACCAGCAGTTGTCTGATAGCCAGCACCCCACCACTACTGTCACGAATCCTATCAGCAACGCTAGCACTATGTATACCTCCGCGTTTCCTGTATTTAATTAATTACATTTTAATAGCTAAGAATATAAACAATATCATAATACCTTAATAGCAGTTATTTATTCTCACCTAGCTGCTTCCGAATGCCGAGTGGCTGCCGACTGCGCCAGAGTGAGTTGATAAGTGTCGGGTCCCCTCGTGTCCGCCAGTCTCGGTATCCTCGCCCTCTGGAATACTGACTGAATCTGTGTACAAATACGCGCAGTTTAAAAGTGTTTGCGTAAATTTGCACAGATATATTATTGATTTTTCGATCGTAGCTGGATTAACATTCCGTTAGCATTATAACTTTGTTAGTTACTATTACTACAATAAGAAAAAGTCGCACCATCCCTCGTAATAAAACAATAAAATAACCGAAGGTGTTACGATCGCAAATCTGGCGTGGAGCCAAAAACTTCCAATGCCGAAGCTTACAGTCCATACAAATTGGACGTTGATGACAGCAAAAAAGCGAAATTGAATTGTTGCGTTTTTTCGTCCTTGGGATACCTATTTTGATTGTGTAATCGTGCATAAAATCTAAATACGTGTATCATGCGAATGCAGTTATAGCTCTACCGTGACAGAGGTTATGAAAAACTCTAAAGCGGATCAAACGACATTATGCATCGTAAATTACAGAATATTTTTTATACATTGTGTCTAATATAACGTATATTATTATACATTATATTCAAAAATGATGATTTAGTTAATTACTTGACAAATCTCAAACAATTCAATTTCGCAAATCATAATAATAATAATAATATATTATAACAAAATGAAGTCATAAAGTAACTACTATATTAACTTATGTAAAAATAAAAAATAAAATTGCTTTTGAAGAAAGCAAACCTATATTATTTTGTATAAGTATAATCTTGAACTTGTTGGAAAATCCTAGCAACAATACCTACTTGGCTTCTACAATTCATAAATCAGTATATACCTCGAACTATTAGATTCTCGCTATTAGATACCCTACATAATTATAATACATACTACCGTACATATCATCGAAACGTGCAAATAATTTTAATTGCGTATTAATATCATGCAGCGATACTATACTTAAATATAAACATTTTTTCATCGGCAATAATCGATGATTTTAAATAAATCAGTTTTATTGGCTCCTAAAGTATAAAAAACTTTCTGTAATTACATTTTCTAGGCGGTAAGTTACTTACATTGTCTCGTCGCAGCCGTTTCGTTGCGGATAATAAAATGTGAATACATAAAGTAATATTCAAGGAAGTATTATGTATGTTTAAAATAATATAACAATAGAGTCCGTAAAAGAGAGCAACATCAAAATAATGTAATGATTGATATGAAAATGGGATATAGTAAAAACAACAATGGTGGGTACATAAAGTGATATTTTAAGAAAGCTTAAGGCGAGCTCTTATAACAGAGCCCGGTAAACATCGATTACCCTACCTACTATTTATACAGTTGCTTGTCTACTAATGCCACTAGGGATGTGTTGTTAGGCTCTAAAATATTTTACGTACAATTATAGTGAAACTTTATACTAAACATATTTCATATTACATTTATTTATGAAAGAATTTACGTAGGCGCGTTGAAAAGGGTTCCTGGTTTTGATAAAGATCGCTTTTATCACAGTAAAAATTTTAAAATATTTTATTTACATGTAATTTTTTTATTATACCAAAGACTGACATCGCAGTTTGGTCTTCTGTTATTTCCCCAGACAGTAATGATAATTATAATGTGTCAAATTTGTATTTTTAATATTTTATCTATATAAATATATTATTTGTTTTAGGCATATTATAGTACTATACACTTACTAATAACAGTATATGTAGCTGTGCTTTGAAATTGTGTTTCACAACACACCTGTGCTGCACGTAAAATGTTTGTCGCAAATAATTTTGTAGAGCTTATTGGTTACCAACTATGGGTTTTATTAGAAATTTTTGCATATAGTGTTTAAAATTATACTCACGGTTAAAACAATCAAAAATATTTAAGGATAAGATTATATATAAAATATGTAGTAATAATGAATTAACCGGTGACAGCAATAGACTGCCCCCTGACATGTTGGATAATATGCACCACAATTTTTATTTGTGCAACTTAAAATGACGAAAATACTGTCGACCCACCTAATGGGAAGAGGTAATTTTCGCTTAAATGATATCCTATGCCAAAAAGGAAATTTGGGTATTTACTAAGGACAATCTTTAGCTTAACGATTTAGGATTATTATATTTATTTATTACATATAGTAACATAACATTAGATCATGTCCGACACCCAGATATCAATAAAGATTAGATTATCTAAATAATTCGATTCAAGTGCGAATATAGCTGTGATTAATAGTCGGGTAAGAGCAATTTCGAAGATGGTAGCGATGTAGGAAAATTTGTGTAGTGCTACAGTCAAGGGACTTATGCTATGAAATGTAATTAAAAATAATTACCTACATGCTAGAAAAAAGTAATTGTAATCCCACATGAGAAAATTTTACAGTGTACTAACTATCAGAGGGATACTGTACAAAAGTCGTTTGTGTGGGTACCTCTGCCCCAATTATGTTTCAAACGTGAAGCAGTTGTCTTTGCATAGCTGTGTTCCGGTTTGGAGGGTGGAATATGACAGTGAATTTTCAAGGTACAGGGGCATAACACCTCAGTCCTCAAGAATGGCAACTTATGGGGGTATCATGTATGAAATAGTATACTCTGTTATGTCCGTGGTACTGCTCATGTCTATAGGCAAAGGTTACCACTTTCCATTAGGTTCCATTAGGCATTAAAATAATTTAATAAAATATGAATTTTAGGAAACTATTGTGAAATTAAGCGTGAACCAAAGTGGTTACTCGAGTGCCCTGGTGGTTAGAATGAACTACCATAGAGCTACAATGACTACGTCGGATATCTCTTAATTTTTTGTTTAATACTATCAACAAATAAGACATGTAATTAGTAAATTAAAATTCAAAATCATTAATATTTTTTTATACTTGGCATATTTAGACATGTATTTAATCATATCGTATCCTTCTTTAAATAAAAGCTTTTCTATAGTAACTATTTATTTATTTTTGTATTTATTCGGATAAAATCACATCTGGATTGTTTAATATAATTGTATAATTATAAAAAATAGATAAATATCTCTTTTGATACTGAAGACTGTGGACCTTAGTAATTAAAATTTATATTAATTAATATAAGGATGATATATTTTAAATAAAGGACAACAAAGGCTGTAATGATAAAAGCAATAAATTGAAAACATTTATACTATCTTATAGATAATATATGCCATTATAGTTTAGCAGTTTTTCGTATATACATAAGTAATGTCTATGATAATTTTCGATCTTTAAAATTTACGATAATACATGTTGTTTAAAAACGTACTAAATACAAAATAAGGTTGTTCACTGTCAGTAAGTAATAACAATTTTTTAGCTTCAAGGCTACAAATTCGAAACTAGTCATATAGGCGGGTAACATTCTTTCATTTATTACTTAAAACAATCGTAATTGCATATTATTACATATTGAAATATATCTACAATCTTTACTTATCCTGAATTTTTTGACATTGTCATAAATTGCGTAATTCGGCATTATATTCTTTTCATGTCTTTTTTTATTTAACAGAATACTGAAACTTACATTTAAATACATTTTTAACATCATGTACTACATTCATAGAATGATAATATCATACCATGAGTTTAGGGTTCGGTAAAATAACCAGAGGTTTATGATATTAATATTATGTATTTAGCTGAAAATTTACTTTTTTAATTAGCTGAGGGTATTTATTTATGAGGGTAATAGGTATGATTCCCTATGAATGTTATTTCGTTATTATTATGGTCTTAGTACCGGATGTCTGTTAAACTCAACTGGATATACGAAAAAAATCGCATTATGATCTAGATAAAATGACTATTTTAATCATGTTGTAAGAAGTTTCTAAGCTTGGAATAGAATAAATTGTGTACTGTCTGATTTAAGAGTTTTTATACTTAAAAAGATGTTTTCGTAAGAAGAGTTACGAAAATGAAGAAATGCATGTAAAGATAGAAGTGTCTGATACTTAGTTTTTTCTGTTTATCTCGTAAGGACCTGAGGTGAGGATCATCGATATACATAAAAATCCCAAGATCAATATTAGAGATTAAGCACATCCTAATGAATTATGTAGGGTTTAGTTTAAAAATCTATATTTTTCGCTTTGTTTATTTAAATGATTTTTTTATTTCATAATTTCTTTACAATGTAACCATATACGTATATTTTATAGAAATTTATCTCAGTAAGAATAATTCTAATTTTGATTATAACCTTTACCGCCTTAATATAAAAAAAAAATCTGATAGATAGGTGTACAATACTAAGAATGTTTAGATGACTTACTACAAAAGCCTCTCTATTTTATGTCTATGAGTATACTTAGATATAAATCAAAGAACTTAGTAAAGATAAGCATAAGATATACGAATTATTATTATGCTCCGTTTATCTTCTTCTTTCATATATATTCTTCGTAAGAATTCCGTATAATTTTTATTTTTCAATTTAACCTTACAATATAATTTCTTCTATATATTGAGTAATAAAGGTATAATATGGTAACTGAATTCATGTACAAATGGATAAAAAAGTTGACCTGTTTTTTAAAGAAGTATTTTTATAGAGAATTGTGTATTAAAATATTTGGACTGCACTAATGCTCATATTAAAAAAAAACAACTTAATTCATACTTCTCCCCATTTTACGAGTAGGTTTATTACAAGAAAATCCTCACAGAGTTAAGCTCGACTTCGTACATTCACTTGAGCCTAATGTGCACCTGTAATTTTAAATGGTTTTTAAGTATATTTTTCGTGCATGTGAATTTGTGTGTGAATGTGAATCTTGGGGTTTTTTTGTATATCAATAGTGAAGGTAGATAGATATATAATAAGAATGTATATATTCCGTACCTGCGTACTCCGCCGACACCGGCGGGCGGCGCAGTCGAGTGCGGCACCCCAGGCGGTACTTGCGCGCCGCCTTGCACGCCGCCCTGCACACTGCCTTGCGGCGCGCACACACAACACCCTGCGCATACACTCGGGTGTCAGACAACAAACAAAAAGGACTTTCTTATTTTAAAAATTAGAAAATAATGTGCCTGTCTTATTTAATTTGTTACAAACTTTCCTTTTCAGAATGGAAAAGTGCTAACGCTTTATTTCGATTCTTTTCGCAAAGTAATCTATTAGGATTGCAATATGGTAGGTAAAGTAAAATTAAAGTAAGTAGATATGGAAAGGAGTAACATGTGCATAAAATTAACTTCTTATTAAAAAGGTCAATTTACGATTAAAAATATACCTAGATTATTACAAATTATAAATATCAAGTCAAATTTACTTGAAAATTATTAGATTTTACTAGAGGCTACGTAGGTTGTAATCCTTATATAGGAGCTCAGAAATAATAATCATTTCCACTTTTTTTGGTAAGTAAAGAGTAACTTTCTCTCTTATGTTAATTTTAATAAAATAAACGGCATTTCAAGTGCTTGCAAAAGATGGTTGCTATAGTTATTAGTTTTATTACTCGTAGATATAGTACCATAACAAAATCCATAACTTTAACAAATTATGTTCCCTATTTGCGATACTACAGTGATTGTGCTGATACTGATAACGATAACATGAATAGAAAAGACGGTGTCTCTCCAAGTTATTGAAACAGCTTTCCATATTTTATAATAGCATAGCGTAGGTTGAGTCTTCGCTATGTTGACAGAGAACATTAGACTGGCATCTATTATTTTCATTGTGAAGCGCTTGTATTTTCATGGAATTAAGAACATTCATCACGCGGTCGCATGTAAATAGTTTGTTTTAATTTAAATTCAAATTGAAAATGTAGTAACTAAATATGGTTTGTTAATTTTGTTGTAAAGTAGAATACTATAAAACAGTATTTTCAAATTTATTTCTATTTATACATATAATTAATGATAATATACATTGATATATAGTTAATTGCATTAAATATATACTTGATTTTAAAATTTTAATATATTTAATTAATTAATGTACTACAAGAACATTAATAAATTAAATAGAGATGCGATCCATATTTCAAAGTATCTGATTTATTTTATAAGTAATAATTTGATTTAAAAGCATAGACTAATTTAATTTGAAGCAGTAGTGTATATCTAAAGTTACAAGAAACTCCATACTCTGCGGTCTTATTTAAAGTGGAAGTTCCGCTTGCCTAGTTTACAAATGAAATTGTGTAAATACCAAGAGAGCGTAGTCTTGGACTGTCTTTAGTAAACAGATTAATAAAATAAATACTCGGGAACGAAATCGTCTGTATTTGCAATAATTATGCGTTTATGCATAGGCATATTAAAATATTTCCCATTAATAAAAATAGTTTTTAATAAATTATAACGATTCGTTTTTATTAAATTAGTAATTCATCAGTTACTTATTTAATATCAAAAACTTGAGAGAGAAATTTATGTTCCATACGTTGTAATTTAATATTTACAAGCTGTATACTATATACTACATTATATTCTGTATCTCTATTAACATACTAAAATACCGTTTAAATCGACTTTAAAAAGAAGGAAGTATTTTAATTTGATTGGGCTTGAAATTATTTGATGAAAATAGCGTGGATATGCGAGTATTTTTTGGAAAAAAAATATCTACAGTAGATATTACATCAACGCATGAAAATGTCTAAGGATCAATAACAAAACAGGTGGTACAAGAAGGTCAAATATTCAGCTTTGTTGATACAAACGCAATAGGTTTTGAATAAATCAAAATCTTTTGTTTTGTAAGCCCCACAACAATAACTGTAATATTTTATATGCAGCGATAAACACACCCTTTTACAAAGATTTTCAATCGAACAGAATATTTGGTACGAACAAAATGTTTGAAATAACAAACCGTAGACCCAAATAATAGATTATTGGTTCAGGATAAACAAATAATATCATACAATTTTCGTATTTTAATGATTGAAATTGATATATTAGGAGTATTAAATTTATACATGTTTACAATCAAGAGAATATTTTGATACGAAGTAATGGATAGCATCATCAGTTTTTTTGTTGTGTAATAGGGACGTTTAAAAGAATATATAAAGGGATATCTATGGGCTTAAGCATCACTTATAAATACATATTGATCGATCAATTTAAAAGAAACATTTTTATTATGAAAATCATATAGATAGTCAAATAATATTAGAACTTACATTCCGAATGGACGGTAGAATGGTAAAAAAAATTATATATTAGAACTGAAATATTTGAGTTTTAAATTTTACAAATAATTATGTATATATACTGATATTTCGACTCTTAAGTTGTTGTCTCAAATCTTTATTATTAAATCAATAATCATATATTTACATAAAGTACTACTACAAAATGGTACATACAAACCCATTTAAAGTAGCTATTTAGATGCTAGTCTGAAAAAGACACAGTCATACAGTCATTTTTAATATAATTTATTTTGTATTCGACAAATAGTAGACTTATTATCAACATAATCAATTTTATGAAACATGAATATATAATGTATAGTATAGATACCTATACTGTACTGCCAATGGCAGGTACTTCTCGTATATGCTACCCATGGGAGTTAACGTATTATACCTGTTGTAGCTATCAGGCATCTATCAAGATTTGTAAGATAATAGCTGTAGCTATTATCATACAAATCAAAGTGAACACAACACACGCATTACTACTTTTTGGTAGAAGTTTTGATATTTATAGAGCTATAATAGAATAATAATATTTTTGCCAAGACATGTGAAAGTTTATCTGAATATTACTATATCACGATGTTTGTAACGAAGTTATGTTTATATACCTATCTAATACTAAATTTCACTTTCGAGTTACTACATAAAATTTTTGTCGAGAAAAATTTAAGGGAATGGCAAAAATTGTTTTATATGTATATTATATAACAGGTACTAAGTATCTTATACTTACTTTAGGAAGGAATTGGTATTGAAGGGACGTTGTTATCAACAAATAAATTTTATAATATTAAGGCATGTAGTGTGATATGATACACTTTTTGACTTGAGTTCTTATATAAATTGAGGCGATTGCGAATATCTCTATTCATTGTAATTAATTATGTCAGCTTTACTTATGTTTTAAATTCGGCTATGTCCGTCTAGCATCAAACTCAGCAAAGCAAAGCAAAGCCGATATAATTACGATAGAGTATGACTCACAATAAATATTTCTGTCTATGTTTGCGTTCAAAATTACACTACAAGTAATTGATGTACTTGGAATGAGGTATTCTCTTTATCATCATTCGAGCAAAAGCGACATTACCGGCGAGTGCTGCGAGAGCTGCCAGCGAAAGGAGGGCGGAGCGGCTGCGTGCCATGTCAGCAGGGCATGCCGCGTGGCGCTGGCCCCGTCATCGCCGCGCCATGCCGCCAGCTTCTTCGCACATACACCTATGGCGATCACCCTCTTGCTATCACAATCTGCGTCATAAAGAATTATATACTTACATTATGTATTTACCGCACGGGAGCGCGACATGTATGTTAAGTCTGTTAAGGTGTTATTTTGATTATCCGAATTTTGAGTTAAATATAGCGGTTTACTCAATAGTGATTGAGTGAGAGATGACTGAATAATTTTGTACTCTGTCGATCGAATTAAGTATATGGAAGAATAGAAGGAGACCTTAATTCAACTATGAGACGATACCTAAAAAATCTCGATTTTCCACTATAACGCCAACCATATCGTAACATGATCTGAAGTCACTAACTTATTGCACTAAAAGAATAAGTCAGTACTCGATGGAAAATCTTCACAGAGTTTTGTATGTAATATGCAAATGTGTTTTCAATTCTCAAGTGATAGGTACTTTAACTCCTAAAATACTGAGTGCATTCGTTTATTAATCAAGATAACCTATAAAAGCATTTACCAATACTCAGTAGTGTCAGAAAGTCATCTATTCCGTAATATATAATTTCTTAAATGCGCATTTAAGGTTGTCTTACACACGATTAATTTTGACTAACACACGATTTATGTTGTAGATTGATTTAATCAAATGCATAAGGTATTTATATTTATTTGTATTTTATAAATTAAATAAAGGTAAGTAAGTCCGTGTGGTTCCGCTATAGAATAGGCCATCCGTTCCATTCCCGTGGGTGTCGTAAGAGGCGACTAAGGGAGGGCGGAGGATGGGCAGCAGCGTCCCTCTTAAAACATCTCCAAAGCCTTACTGCGGTTGCTAATTCGCCTGCCAAGTGTGGCAACTACTGGCAAAACCCACCAAGGGCGAGGCTTATATTCAGCATTGGACAATTAAAGACTAATATGATGATGAAGTAAAATTAAGAAATTAATTGGTATTATATAGTTAATAATTTCTGTATTTTCAATATTAAATGCCGTTATATGGTCCCATATTTCAGCACGAAATATCTAGTTCGAGAAAAGAGCAGAGTTCATGCTCATTAATCCTTATCGCAGACAATTATTTATTATAATTTTCTAAATAAATAATGTATTATAAAGAATATGTCAACTTCACAAATACGTATTTAAAATAGCGAGGTTTGTCTAGAGACGCTCAAAGCAAATATAAAATATAATAATTTGTTAAAGAAAAGCCCTTATAATAGGGTACGACAAACTGCTACATATTTGTAGAGAATAAATGGGGATACCTACAGCGTGGATGTTTTATTGTCTTAACTGAAAGGGGTATGGCGAAAAATACACTAAGTGTAAAAAGATTTATTACGAGTAATGTCATGTTAGATATTTCTTGTTACATTTAAAACTAGATCTAGAGGGTTAATAAATACGTTTCAAGAATTATAATAGGATTTAAATAACTTACCAAGTTTAATATTCGCGCTGAAAGCATTATATTAACGGACTAGTACATTTACATCGGCGGATTATATGAAGCGAATCCTTTTATAATTCGTGTACAACGGAGTTTTAACCCATTTGTTTTTTTTTTCTTTCACCATTATGTCTATCAACATTACACGTTTTACCCATTGACGTCAAAATCACCACCAGCAAGTTCGTCTTAAAACATGGGTGGAAAATTTATTTTCTAGTCGTGCAATTATGCGAGGTAAGTTCTCTCCGTGCTTCTATTTTTTTTCATTTGTGGTTTTCTTTGTTGATTTTTACTCTCTTAAAAAGTTATTTACAACAAAATAATTAAGATTATGTTTCACAAAAAACCGACTTCAATTATGACAAAACCAGTTATAATGATTTAAAAGCTAAATCGATTTTGGTAAAATTTTTATGGAATCAATTTGTAACTCACTGTACGTCACTTGCAGATATTAAATGATTTTCGAAATCAGTTTATAACTGATGGAGTTATGAGGTAACAAACATAAAAGAAAACAATTAAATTGAGAATCTCTTTTTTTTGTAAGTCGCTTAAAATTCACTATTATCTTATAATATCATATATTGTACGAAACCTATATATATCTGATTTCTAAAAATTTAATTACTTTACACGATTATTGTATTATATGTTCATATTACGTACAATTAATTACATGTGTACTAATGTTAAATAAATAAATAAATCTTTGTTAACTTTTAAGATTGTTGTATCAGCTGTTAACTGCTCACTGTGCTGAACAGAGCCTCCTTTATATGGGGGTTTTGTGAGTATTTGGCACTCTTGGTAGGCGGGTTGCGAACCATAGTTTGGCTTTTGGTGATGTTTTAAAAGAAACACTGCTGCCCATACTTTCTCCATACACTTAGTCATCTCTTACGACACCACCGGGATAGGAAGAGGTGGCTTATTCTATGGCGAGACCTAAATTTAAATTTTAAATTACTAATTATTAAATAAAATACTTGAAAGTTTTGAATTTTATTTTCCTTATCAGTGTTGATAAATCACGTAATTATAGATTCATTTATTTATTAGAACTATTCATGGTGCAACACTATTCCATGCTCACAGTTTACACACACAAATTTTAATAACATTAATGTCTCGTTTTTTGTGATTGCATTACTAGTCTACGCTTAAATCAGGCAAACAGAATTATTATTACCTACCCTGTAAAATCTTCTTTATCTCATGAACTGAAATAGTGTATGCTGAAACTGTTAGGACTGAAGCCAATTCAGAGCGTTCATACTAAAATTTACTGAAGTTCAAAATCAATTTTTAAAAATATTTTTAATAAGTGCTATACTAGTAAACAAAAAAGTTAATAAGAGTTATAATATTATTACCATATTTTTGACTATTACTTATATAAGTATTTTTCTATATATATTGAAATATTTCACATGACACAAATAAAATTTCATATGCTACGCCAAATCATATGCCACTCCATATACGTTTAAACTACTGGAAAACCCGTCCTGATGAGGAAGGTCTATGTTCTAAATAGATAGATCTATGTCAATCAGATAATATCAATGATATTTTCTGTTTGACTTATCGTTAATCGTTACAAAACCCCTTAAGATGTGACGAACGTAATATTCTTCTTTGTATCTAAAAGAAATAATGAAAGAAATTTAGTAGTAGGTATATTTATCGATGCCCAATTTATTTATTTCTATGTTAATTTTATCATTTATCTAGTTATATCTTTCATTATGTAACAATCTCTATCTACGTTTATTCAATTTTAAAGCAAATTACTTCAGAACAACAACTTCAATGGTGATAAATATAATCTGAAATAACATGATAGTCACATAGACTAAGTCGCGGAACATGCAGTAGAAAATATTTTTAAGCGACCTCAAAAAGAAGAAGTTTCAATTTTTTTCAATTTGTCTGTTTCTACTTTATGTGTATTTATAACTATGGATATTACAGAGGTAATTGAATACGTTTTATAGGTATATAACCATTAAATAAATAAAGTGGTGATAAGGAATGGTTTCGTATAATAATAATAATAGAATGTAATTACAAACTTGACAATCTGTCCTTGTAACTCTTATGGCAAAAGTTGTAAATTTTAGATTTAAATGTAACTAGTAGTTATGTGACTTCGCCCATATGAACATGACTTTTATTGACTGGGGAAAACGTAACATAATATTATGTTCTTTTCTGACGTTAAAATGTACGGCAAATTTCAAGACGACTAATTTAACCGATAAGGCTTTGGTTAAGGAATCATAAGTTAACAATCTTACTATCACGTTTTTAATTTTAAAACAATAAGACACAATATATTTTACATTTATGTCTATATAAATATTCATCCTTATGAAGATATTATTATACTATATACTTACTACCAAAATTATAAGAGTATAAATAAATAGTAAGTATATACTGATATATTTTTTATAAATCATTAAATATTGAAATAAACTAACTGAACCCAAGCGACCCTTATCAATCACGTATTTATACATTATACTTGGGTTAAATACATTGGTAATTAGGTAGAGATAAAAGATATAATGTATAAGAGATACGCAGTATAAAAGACTATGGATAAAATTCTATGACTAAGTATTAGACAATCTTTAAACATTTTACACAAAAAAAAATTACATAAAAAATCCAGCAGTTGCCACGCCTGGCATTCGGGTTGGCAATCGCAGTTAGCTTTTAGAGATGTTTTAAGAGGGACGCTGCTGCCCAGCTCTTGCCCTCCTTTATATTATAGCCCCATTATCATATACCCTGTCAGGTCGACCTCCACGTGGTTCCCCCTGGAAACCATTGTGACTAATTCTGCTTGAATTCATCAGGATGGGCTAACTGACCTGCTTTCATTCTCATCAGTCATCTATCACTGGTGCCCTGCCAGTGTATACCGGTAGCGCGGACGGGGTTACCATACCATTATCACCAATTAAAAAAAAATATGTGGAAATAATGTTACCACATTTCTAAATACGAGCAGAAAGCCTCCTATACCATAAAATAGGTATGTACTTAATGTTCAAAATTGATAAACCATCGCTAGTCAATCATTACAATATTAATTCTCTGTCATCTACGACAAGGGTGAGAATGATTGAGGAAACAGAGGCGAAACAACAGGTGGTCCATATTTAATAGTTATTGCCAGGGTACAATTAAATTGTCTGTCTGGCCGACTGAATCGGTGGCGAGGTGTCGCTGAAATATCGGGAACATACCCTGCCCTGCTAGCTCGGTAATGTCGGGATTCTTGACATGGGTCATGTTTACCTAAACATCCCTTTAAATGTTATTTGGAGAATCCACCTATTGTGATGTGTGTGGTGATTTAATTGCTCCACAAACAAGGGTTCTTCATGATAGTTCCACGTAGTTCTGTGGTGTTTAGGATTAAAACACTGAAGCCAACTATTTTCATTTGTCTCCGCTGCATTACAACTATCACAATGTTTACTTTGTACTAGCTGGTCACGTGATTTCGTTCGCCTGACCGAGATAAAATATAAAATATAAAAAGATAGCTACTGATATATTTTATTTTTAAATCGATGTTGTTAA